GAGGAAGACAGATCTAAGCTGTCTTGCACTGCCTGAGGAGTTGCAGAGGGGCTACTGAATCATTTGAGTGCCTGCTCAGCTCTGTCAGTTTTGAGGAATAAAGTGGTCACTGGGCATAGGAACAGTAGCAACAGTATTTTTAAATCCCAGCTTGGGTTAGTAAATTATTAGTTTATGTATTATGTCATATTACGTAGTTTAGGTATAGGAACGTTTTCACAGCAGATTTTTATTTTAAAAGTCCAGTGGCTGATCTTACCATCCCAACCATTTTGTAGTGGTGCAAAATATGATTTATGTGCAGATTTTCTCTGCTGTGAGATTAAAATAAAGCTGTGAACAGATAGTACAATTAGCTCAAACATGCTGAGTGAAATAGATTTTCTTTGGAGGGAAAATCCTCTTTTGCCATTATAGTCCTAGAGTTGCTTGCAATTAATGTTCCTAGATTTAATTCAGTTGTATTCTGTGATGGAGAAAATATGCATATGTCTATCTGAATCTTGCCTGTCCTGAGTTTTGGATATCATCAATTACTGTTAAGGTTCTCTTGAAGAAAAATTATTGCATGAAAAGAGGAAATAATATTCTGTTACATGCTGAAGTGTAATAATTTCCTTCTGAAAGACTTCAAATTAAGTGTGCGTGTTTTATGTAGAATTTCTGTATATACGGTAAGCACCTGAAACAGATTTGTGAAAGGTAACAGTACCAGACCTCTTAACTTCCAAACGTTTATATGTTCTCTGCATTATTAAACACACTGATGGAGGGGAAAATATGACAGCATGTTGACCTTTTTCCAGTGTTGTTGGTTAAGGAATAGGAAGCTGTTGGAAAATGATTGCCACAGAGCTGAAAAGATAATCGGATGCAGTTCATTACTCATCTTGTCAGCTGCTCCTGCTACAAGGGATTGTATCACAAGATGTTAATCTGCTTGTGACTAGATTTCAAAGCAAGCATTTTTATTTTGGAGGGGGTGTAAGTAATTTAACATCTTTCAATTTTATTTCGTTTTCAGAAGCAAGAGAAATGGAAAATTCCCAGTTTAAAGTCTCAGAATATTAATTGATAAAAATATTAGTACCTCCTTGTGGGTTCTGTTACAAAAATACGATGTTTTGCTGCAAAAAGGAATTTAATTGCAGAAGTTGTCCTTTTTAAGCTAATGACGAGGTAGTGTATTCCTTGAACTGTAGAAGTTAGTCTACTAGCACACTTCAGTGTTCTGCAAGATAACAAATACAGACAGAAGACAGATTTGCACCGAAAAGAGTCCCTTCTGCACATGAAATCAGTAACATGGATGTACCCAGTGCTGCCATACATTGCCTGCAATTGAGGATATTTGGTGTGAGCGTACAGGAGGACCAAATTCATTACTTACACCCTGGGGTGTTGGGAAGGTGACAAGAATGCAGATTTAGCTAGATAATATTTTCTGAAAGTGAAAGGCCTAAAAGAGCAGTTTATTTCTGATACTGTGGTATGTTGCTCACAGTGCTATATGAACCATAGGGGAAGGTTTATAAGCTTTCTATTACAATGAGATAGGCCAGTACATTTGCTGTGTACGTTTCAGGCAAGCAGTACTGCCCTTTGCTCTTCCACTTTTCTTCCTGCCTATCTTCTTAAGTCCTTGAAAAATTTGTCAGGTGCAAGGAGGGGGACATTCCTTTAATTTCCTGCT